CCACCAACTTTCACCTTAAAGAAAAGTTCCTCAGTCAGTACTCCATTGTATAATATTTTCACTGATTTGTTTTTTAGTAAGGCTGAGGGTTGGTTGTTTTTTTTTTTTCAGTCATTCCACTTCCATAATGATTCATTCCCTAGAATGCTTACATCTACTGAGTTAGTTCTGTTCCTGGATTTTAGCACTGCTTGCATGTCCTAGATAACCAGTTAAACGCAATTTTCTTATCTTCCTCCTTATTGCTTTTCCATCTGTTTACAAAGCAATCTTTTTTGTTGATATACGTTACCTGCAACTCTAACATAAATAAATCTGAGTCTCTCTTGGACTCCTCTAAAAGCATTATGGTAAGATTCCATATAATCCTTAAAGAAAAGCATACACAGAAGGTCTAAGGTAGCAGTTAGACTGTGCAAGTGAACAGTACTCATTTTCTTTTACAAACAGTAGCAAAAGCTTTCCTTTAAAATCAGTAGTGAAAGCTTCCCTGTAGTGTTCTGCAGTAAAAATAGTCCAGGAGTCCAAGAGCTTCTTTTAAGCTGCTCTGAATGTGTATGAAGCACAATGAGATTATCAAATACATCTAAAATTTTAATCTCCAGCTGGAGAACTGCTAAAGCAGTTACAAAAGTTTCTGAAACTGATTCAAAACACTCTGAATCACAGCAACATATAAATATACTGCCCTAAACTTAGCATGTTCCATATTATCAGCATGTGATGATGGCCTTGTTTCCTGGCAACTGAAGACATACAACTCTTTTATACACACGTATATACACGGCTTTCTTGCTTTGGGGAAAAAAAGAAATATCCCCTTTTAGTTCATTTAGTGAGCACACTACACAACTTTTAATCAGTGAGTTTCATTCCTTACACTGTTACAACACTTCAGTGCAATAATAGATATCTAGTATTGCAAAAATGGACGATCATACCCTTGTGTTCACTTTGTTCTTCTCTGTTCTCTTTGTTTTTCCTGTTCCTGTTTATTTATAAAATGTGGAAAAAGATCTCAGTATGTTTATAAGTGAAATGCAATGGAGATTCTTGATAAAGCAATCCAAACAGATAGCTAAGATGGATACTCCAAAATGGAATCACAGTGTCATTTAGTCTTCACCTACCTAGTGTCTTATTTTCTTCAATTTTTTTACAACCAACATTGATCTTAGTTACAACAATGTTGTTCCTGAAGTTGATGGAACTGATTTGTTCATGGAAAGATTCTCCAGTGATACAAATTTGTGTATCTCCTTTCTATGTCAATATTATCATAGTACATCTTGGGTTGAAAGGGACCTTAAACCTCACTTGGTCCTTGTCGTGGGCAGGTTTGGCATGCATGAGATCGGATAGGGATAGCTGCTGAAAATCATGTATCCAAGCTACAAAGCTCAGTTCTCTGTTCTTTCATCATCCAAATGCTATTTAATACTTTAAAACATTTTATTTTTTAATTAATTCATGTATTCAATCATATTTTATAATTTGGGAGAGGGGAATCAACAAAAACTCTATGGCTGTTGCAATAGAGCAAATTCAAATGTCAGAAAGGAAACCAGTCTGACTAGATGTGGTAAGATTACTGAAGTATCCAACACAGTATCAAAATCCCATCAACATTTCCATCCTCTCTCCTTTACTTCCTTCTTTTCATACTTAGTTTAATATAGTTTAAACAAAAAGGTGTGTTATTGCTACTATGCTTAATGCACATATCAAAAGAGGGGACTGTCTTATTCTATGGCCCTGTTTATTTTAATCATGGCTGATCAAATGACAAAGGAAAGAAGAGAGAGCATACAGATGATTTGAATGTAGCTCTATCTGAGAAATTACAGAAATTACATGGAATATTCAGGTAAAATAGATCATATCAAAAATATCAAGGTTGTCAAGGCTGCTCCAGATGTAATCCAGTGCTTAGCATAATATGAGTACAGAGAAAATCTTATCTCCCCTTGAATACCCCCACATATATACATCCATGCAGTACATCTGGATATTATTTCAGTAATATGAGATGTCTCTGACTTCAAGAGACAATGCAGTGCCTACTTTTCCCAGCCCACACCCATTTTGCAGGTTACTGCATCGCTACAGTGATCATACATCACTCAAGAATCCCAGACGTTAGGCAGTTTCCAACAGACATAACTTGGTTTTACAAGAGTCCTGCAACAACAGTGAAAGTTAAAGCTGCCCTAATAGCGCATACCAAATAATTCAGTTCTGAGGTGTATCTGTGTATCAGTAAAGCATCAAGATACTACTGTAAACACCCACACAAAGTCTCTCAGTAAAAACATTTATAAACCTACCTCTGTAAACATCTATAAACATAATCAAGAACAAATTTTCAAACAACTACTGAGTTTTTATACAGCCTTTCAAAGAGCCTGTACATTTCTATTTTAATGTCAACAATTAGCTAAAATAACTAGCTAGCACTTGTTATTAAAAATATTTGTGAGCTGAATAATTCTTTATCGTGAGCTAAATTTTGCTGTAAGACGGGTCTGAAAATGTCCTTCACAACAAGTGAAAGTGGGCTGGTGAACAACACTTGCTTTCACAAAAGACTTTAAAAGAATCCATCTCAGGCCATGGACAATTTTGTTTTACTACATTGTGATCTCAGTGTTAGCAGTGAAGCTGCTATGGCAATGTAAATGTTCCACTGTTTCAACTAAATTATTCCAGACTCATATGAATGCAACTGGAACAGAACTGAACCTAAGTTGTATTAAATTAATGACATACAGCATGATCAAAATATTGCTGTCTATGCAAAAGCACTTTCAGAAACTATTAGTACTCACTAAGCACACAGAGTCTTTAAAAAAAAAAAAAAAAAAAAAGGAATAATAATATTCATTTTTCTTTTTTGGAATACAAATTAATAAAGAAAAGGGAATTAAATGTTACAAAATTCCTGAAATAGGTTACTCCATAATTACTAAGCATTACCAATAACATTGTTTGGCATATTTAGTATCATGGATTATCTGAGCTGATTTTTACAAGTGTTCTTTTAAACTTTCAGAATCCACCAATCCACAGCTGAAGTATTCCTGTAGATTAACATTAATGCATCATGAATCATCACGGTTTAATATGCATTACACTGTTTCATTTCACACATGTTCTGCATGGGTTGATTGCTGTGTATGCCAATACCAAACAGATGTTAATTCTTTAATTTTTATGCTCCCAAAGCATATTTTAATTAACTAGGAGGCCTGACAGAGAAAAAGAGGGAGGTATTTTGAAGTTGATGTGATGAAAAAATATAAAATAAAAATGTGAGAAAAGTAGTTTTTAGATTTCATGCTATCAACAATCTAATTTTTAATATTCAAATGAATACATGATATGCAAAGGAACTGTCAACTGCTCTCATAAAATGGCATATCATTTTCTGTAAACAGTAAAATAATTTTTCAATATTTTCTTAATAAAATTATAATTTTAAAAGCCCTACAAATTAAACTCAAACTTTGTTATATTAAATATTTCTATAAATTAGCTGCAAGGCACTGTATATTCATACCATATCTAGTTCTTAAAATCAAGTATTCTGCAAAGAAATTGAATCTCCATGTAAATATCATTATACAGACTCCCATACATTTACAGTTGTAAGTCTCATTTTATAGATTATGTAAATTATGAAGTCCTGAATGTAGACTATTTCACAGGCCTCCACTGTACCGGAGGCCAGAAGTGAAAATGAGAAGATACTTCAGGTATAGATATATAACGAGGAAGCTGTTGCCAGCCAGTTGCAGTGCCAGATGCAAGCCAAGGTTCTCCAGAACAGCAGCAGAGCCACAGATCAGGATGGAAGTGTGTTAAAAACTGTGAGCTTTAACTAACCCCTAATTTGGCCAAGTTGAGTTGTTTGTGTAATTTATAATAATAATAATAATAATAATAAAGTCAGAGCAGATCTCTAGTTTTGATCCTGATCTTACTGAAATCAACGGGAGCAGAAATGGCTCCCAGGAATTTTGTACCAGAATTAGTTTTAGCAAGCTGAAACAGCCTCCAGGATGAAAATTTCCATTATCAAAGCTGTTATGAATAATAACAGTAGTGTTGTTATTGATACATAAATATTTCTGTTACTGGGTACAATTGACATATAAATAATAATAGTAGACAACATAGTATCAAAATCAAAACATTATACCCCTCCCCATACCATGTAGATCATTCTGCACAGCAGCACTTCCCAGACCAAACAAATTATTTAAATTCCTTGTTTGCATACTTACACAAGCTGGTATACAGCTTAACTGACATTTTGGAAAAGGAAGAAAAAACCCAACCCAAACTGACAGCCATGGCACAATACAGCGAACTTTGTCCTCCAGCATTCCTTCCCCCACACACAAACACATCCTCTTTTTTTCTTCAAATGCCCAAATGCATGCAAGGTGTCTGGGAAAAAAAGCAAATTATCCATCATACCCTAATTTCAAGGAAGTGAAAAACACATAATTCCCACTGGATTTACTGGGACAAGGAGTTAATCTAAAATGTAAATTTTACACACAGTTAAAAAAAAAAACAACAAAAACAAACAAACCAAAAAACAACAAACAACAAACACTTATTCAGATTTCTAAAACATACACTCATCACACTGCAGGGAATCATGCCTGCATTTCTTCCTCAGCCAAAATTCCCTGACTGGAATAACATATTCAGATGTTATTTCTGTTCTCATTCCATTTCACTATGTTAAATCTCCAGATTTTTTTCCTCTTTACTTAACACGTATGTATGAAAGTGCCTCCTTTCCATTCATAGATGTTATCTTCCTCAAACTTCAAATGATTCATGGGTGAATATAGAGTTATAAATAATTTATTGAAATACATAGCAGTGGTTAGGGGAAAAAGAAATCCTAAAGGAAGAAAATCACTGCATAAAATCTGAACATTAAAACTGACTTTTCAAAATCAATCTTTAATTGTTTTTATTACCTCCTAATCCAGGTCTAAGACGATTATCATAGCCATCCAGAAGTCTGTCTAGAATTCTTGTAAAGATGGTGATGTTATTCTTAGCTTCATCTTCCAGGGAGTCAGCCAGCACTGATCTAAACGGACATTTTACAATTTAGAAGATGCTAGGTAAGTTTTAATGTACATTCAACATACAGTTTTTAAAGGCTGGCCTTAAATATTTACCTTTTTGAAGGGTGTAATTAAAAATCTATAAATGCATGATATAGGTATAACACATTCAAAAACATAACGATCTATGGCATACCACTTAAAATTTCCAGCTAGTCATTTTTCAGTAGTCTAATTTCAGTCAATGCTGTAATGCAAGGAGGACCACTACAAGCTCCACTGACACGTTTGGCTGGCCAGGTACAAAGGCCTGAGATCCCCAGGTCCCCCCGACATGTCGCTTCCACACTACTAAGTGATAACCCCATTTCTCACACATAAAACTGTCTCCTTTCAGCTCGGTCTTGTCTTCACTTAAGCGTACCCTATCTTCAGATAAATCCTGTGGATATGCCTCCACCCAATGGTCATGTTAAGTACATGACCAGAGGAACTAACGAGGGAAAACTCCAGCAATCATGCTCAGGGAGTCCTCTGATGTCAGTGTTTGGTGGGTGGGAACAACGATGCTGACTAGCAAGCTGCAGGATAGCTGCAGATAGCCTTCCTGTTTTTAAAATACTGTCTTGATACAGAAAGCTCTACCTGATATTCCACTGGGTGCAGGCAAATCTTATAGAACTTTGATAGAAAAAAAAAAAAATCAGAAATGAAGCATTAAGAAGAATCTACAAATCACCAATTGGATCAAAATTTCCCAGCAAATAGATATTCTAGCCTTTCAGGAGCATGTATTTATGGAAAACACTAGGTGTTCCAGCAGGAACCTGCTGCTCAGCCCAAAGCAGTCCTCCCAGACCTGGGCACGCAAATAAGAGGGTTCAAGTACTAGGGAAACTCTCCACGCAGAAACCCTTAGACATGCAAATTTTAAGCACTTTGGATGTGAAATGCGTGAGCTGAGCTCATCTGTCTCACCTACTTAAAACCAGAGTATTAAAATCAAGGAAGCAGGGGATCATACGCTACATGCATAGTGCCACATTTGTACTCTTTGCAGCCATCTACTTGTTTATGCTGAAATTTTGAGTATTTGTTATCTCTAAATAAGCTACTGAATAGGGCATTCTGGATGAATAATTATGTCATAAAGACAAGCACGTTTTCCTACTCTAAACAGGTATGTATACGTGATGCTTTCTTTCAAGTAAAGTATAAAATGATTAAAAACACGGCATTATTCTGGTCCCTGATTCAACAGCATGGAGGAAGTATTTAAATGTAAATCATCGCAGACTGTTTTTCCATTACACAGACCACACAGGTAACCATAGTCAGATAACTTAAAAAACAAATACCAAAATATCAGTCAAACGACTGTTCTGTGAGTTGATTCCTAATTAGTGGATAGTTACATTTCTAAATTGCATTTCTGTGTTCTGTGCATCTGCCATTTTTAAGCTTATTTTTGAGAGGTAACTGTTTTTTGAAGTCAGGATGCCATGATAAAATTGGTTCATTCAATTATATCCAATTAGGGTCAGATCCTGCAAACTTTACTCTGGCATAAACTCCTTCATTACGCATGCAGCCTCTCTGACGTCAGTGCGATTACTCACTTGAGTAGGGTTTGCAGGATCTGGCCCACTGTGACTCAACTAATATTGCACCATAGTTAGGCACAAAGTGAAATAGGAAATACAGTTTTAAGAATTCATTTTGTTCTCTAGAAAGTAGGGAAAAAAACCGAATGCAGAGGGAAACTGCATTATTTATGACATGTACCATTCTAGGGCAAGACCTGCTGCAGTGAGAACCAGAGTAAGTAAACCAAAGTTATAAACTACAATCAGCTGTATGTTTAGGGACCGTGGGAACCACAAAACTAATTATTTGATTAAAATTATCTTCTGCTGTGTTGTCACTCTAAAAATGAGAACTTAAAACAAAATTTAAAAGTTGATTATTAAATGAAGGCATTGTTTTATTGTAAGCGATTGTGAAGTTGTATGCTACCTCCACCTAGAGGTGTAAAGCTTAAGTGTCATCTGAAATTCTGTTATTTTGACCAAAAAAAGACACCAAAAAATAGACGTGCCCTAACTAAAAATAATAATAATTAAAAAGGGAAAGAAAAATCGCCATTACTGTAGAGACTACAAGTCGCTATTTGATTTCAGAATCATCTGTTCTCCATCTTAACTGCTCTGCATGGCACAGTATCGCTGTGATAGGGTAACTCCAATAAAGCTTTAAGCTCTTAATTTACAACGAGGCACTTAAAACTCGGTTCTTCCTTGGCACAATGAAATCAAACACAGGTTCACAATCTGCTTCAGGACAAGACGTTAGAGCCCACCTTTTCCCACAGCATTAGCTCTGGAAACTATGTAACATTGCATGCAAACAGCTAAGAGAGGGCTTTTATTACGTTACTCCGCACTCTACTTTTATGCAAGCCTATCCTTAGGAGTCCACAGTGTATATAGCTGCACAGAAAGACACGCCGAGCATCCTCACCTTGTGGGCAGCCACGCCAGCAGGGCGAGGAGCACCAGGCGCGTCCCGCGGGGTGCCGGCTGCCTCTTCATCGCCGCGCTCCGCACCACCTACAAGCCGCGGAGAGAAACACAGAGCCGCGCTCAGCCGCCGCGGCGCTCCAACTTCACCCGGGAGCGGTGTCACTTCACGGGGAGCGGAGCGGAGCGGAGCGGAGCGGAGCGGAGCGGCGGGTCCTGCAGCACTTCGCGCTACGGGCAACTTAGTGCGTCTCCATCTTCCCCGGCGATCGTGCCCTGTGCAAAGAGGCAACGGATGATCAGAAGTGGCATGTGAGCAGACGCATCAGATGCTTTCCTCTTCCGTAAGCTGAAAGCCCCAAGATGAGGGGGGGAAAAAATGAAAAAAAAAAAAAAAAAAAAAAAGAGAGAGAGAGAGATGCGTGTCTCAGAGCGCGGGGTTTCACCATCGCTAGCCTCAGCGGGGGACACGCCGGGGGGACCGCAGGCCGCTGGGGGCCACAGCGTGTCCGCTAGAGAGCCACTGGGCCCCTCGCTCCCCGCCGCGGGCGGCGACCCCTGGGGACCCTACCTGGGAGCAGGCGGGGAGGGGAGGGGGCAGGCGGAAGGAGGGCGGCGGCGAGCGCCGGGCGGCCGGGACGGAGCGGCGGCTGCGGGAGCGGCGGGAGCGCGCGCGTGCGGGGGGCGGCGGGCAGCGCGCGTGCCGCTGCGCGGGGCGGGAGGGGCGGCGGGCGGGGCGCGTGCCCGTGAGCGCGCGCGGTGGCTGCGCGGAGTGCGGAGGGGTTGAGTGGAAACGCGGAGCTGTGGGCGCTGCCCCCAGGGCCGGGGAAGATGCAAGTCACCGCGCTGGGGGCTTCACGCAGAACCCCTCCCCAGAACCGACGGGCAGTGCTCTGAGGGGGAGGGGTGGGGGGGCTTGCGGGCGGAAAGCACCCCCGGAGGAGGACGGGGCCGCACTTCTCTTGCTACGCGGTAGGTACGGAGCCTCTCCCAGGCCGTACCATTAATATTCCTTTTCCCGCTTGCCCATTGGCACAGTCATTGAAATGCAGAGAGAAGAAAAGTCTGTCGGTTCCAGCGAGCCGGGGGTGCGGGCGGCCAAGAAAACAATCCCGGCTGCTTTCTAGCTCAGACAGCAGCACTTCTGTTGGATTCTCGTCCACATGACGCCGACCTCGTCTGAGCCCTATGGGCGCACTGCGAGCATCCGTCCCCATTACTGCGGGTTTTCCAGTGCAAATGGATCAGAGCAGTGCTGACACAGAAAAGGGTTTTGTGCAGGCTACCCTTATTTTGCATTAACTTGAAAGCAAGCAGCACCAGTAGTAGTAATACTGTACCTTTTTTGATTGTTTTAAACCAATCTCTATCTCCCTTCAAACTGTTAATCGCGGAACACGCAGCCCTCAGCTCTTCCGTCAGCATCCCAGCCCACCTGTCTGTTGCGCTTTGAGGGTATTTTAATTCAGAATCTGACCTGATCAGCTACAACAATCGGGAGAGTCCTTTTTCTTGCTCTCTGCTACTCTCTCTGGATTTCTTGCTTCCTAATTGTTGCACAGATTGCAGCTGAAGATCCCCCTGCTTTCCTTCTCCTCTGGTGGCTTAAGGACTCCACAACAAAGTGTGAGGCAAAAGAGGGAAGGAGAATGCTTGGGCTGTCAGACTGATCTGCTTCTTCCAGCTCTGAGCTTTTTCATAACCTCACTGGAACAAGAGAGGGAACAAGCCAGGTTACTTGTTACTAAATAATGAGTAAAGTGACAGCCCAGACTGTGGAGAATGACAATGATAAGGACACAAATGCAAAAGTTGCAGTCTGAAGAATGCTCATTCAGCAGCCATCTCACCCTGTGTGTGCCTGAGATACCACAGCCTCAACTTTCCTGATAGAGGAATGCTTTCCTACTCACAAATGTTCATCAGCTGGTCAGCTGAACATCAAGTCAACCCCAAGATTTCCTTGGGTCTGCCTGCAAGTCCCCACATATTGGGAAAAAGAACAGCAAAACCTGACTGCAATCCTTCTGCAGAATTAGAAGCTGATGCAAGAGGCAATGTCAGCCCTTGCTGTATCATTAATTACTTTCCCTCAGATAGAGTGACTTCACAAATGTCAATATGCATAAAAAAACATTATTAGAAGTGAAGGGACTTTCTGATCTATTCCAATTTGAAATATATAATAACGGCAGACTTATTTTTCCATAGGTATTCATGGCATTCCTTTTCAAAAGTCACTTTAATTAACAATAATACAGAAATTAGATTCTAGTTTTTGTATGTGATATGCACAAAAACAAACAAACAAAAAACACCTTTATTGAGGAAAGCAGTGTCTTCTCGTAGCTGCAATAGCATATTATTACTCTCCAAAAGCCACATGGGTTAAGATATGTATTTATAAAGAGGCTGTGCTCAAAACCTTCTTCAGAATCACGTGCTATTGTTTAGACACTAACCACAGTTATTTACAGTGATACTACTTGAGATTTAAACATAGCTTCATGCATTGAAGTTGCACCCCAGGTAAACTGCATACCTTAAAAGTATCAGCAAATTGGAAACAACTGCTCATTCCTGTTCTCAGACAATTTGGGCAGACCAATGGGGCTTCCCCAGTAGCAGTGAAGTTGAGCATAGGCGCAGATAGTTGAGGCAGCAAATATCAGAGGCAACACAATCACTGCCAGAGAGAAAGACCTTTATGATAACCCCACATGCTTATAATCCACAATGCTTATGAACTAGGAAGTATTTGAGAAGAAAAATAGCAGCACCGCTGGGTTTTAGCACTTTGTTGGATTACATGTGTGCCCACCTTGGGTTTCACAACCACCAGGTATGTTAGAACTTACAGGTCAGAAATGGTACACTTGAGCCCCCTCAGGTCCACAGTCAACAGGGGAATTTTCTTTATTGCTTCTTGAGTGGTATTAAAAGCTATCACCTCAATACTGGATTTCAGTTTTTCTGATTCATATGCAGCAACCAGCACATCCCCAGCATTGGTGAGATGAGGTGAGCCTCTGAGCCAAGATACAAATACCCAGGGAGGCTCAGAGTAGTACCACTGGCCTAAATAGACCTGAATCAGACCTACTGTCTTCCAGTAGCCTACAAATTTATTGTCAGAGTTCACTTTAAATTTTTAATTATTTGTATACTGTTAATTATTTTACCTAAAATATTCTACTTTATTTGCTGAAACATAAAACTAGAATTTAATCCCTATCTTGATGTTCAAGAATATCTTAAAATAGCATCTTACAATCCCATTATTCTCTCTCACCAAGGATTTCAAAACTGCATATGCTGATAAACTGTGTTTCACAATACCTCCATGAGGTTGGAAAGACTTCCCCTGTGAGGACAAATTGAATAGCAGGCAGGTATGTGACATTTCATAACCACTTCTTCCAGCTCGGAGCTAGTAGAAGCAGAAGGGAGGTGAAGCCCAGGCTAGTCATTTTCTGGATTGCAAAGTGCTAACTTGAATATTTCCTCACATGTTTTGCTTGAAAGAATCATTTAGATGACACAGTTACTCTATCCTTTGGGCAGAATGAATTTCACAAAAATAGTACCTCACTTTTGTAGCTGTTAGGAAGGTGGCAGTAAACATCTTCTAGTGCAGACAAAATCAAGTAATGCCAAGCAGAACTTAACAGGAGTCTGTTAAGGAGTATACCACCTCCAGATAAAATTTATGGCAGATTGAGGTAATCATCACATAAGTGTTTTTGTGTTGGTTGAACAAGGATAATCTTCACCCTTAGATCTAGGCCAGCAACAGTCTTACCTGTAAGGATAAAACAACCACCCTTGAGATACAATAAAAGTGAGACACATATCTGAAACCTGAAATGACACATCAAAAATTTTTGTGCGATATAGCAGCCGATTTTTTAGTATGAAGTATGCTTCATGCAAATGCTTTAATCCCCAAGAAGCAATAATACACATCCATCAATTAGATATCCATAACTGGAAAGATTGTTTTCTATAGCCTTCTTAAATATGTATTTATATAAATTTAAGTAGCAAAGCAATCCTGTATAATTTCAAGTGCTTGACATATGTAACCAATACACGTATTAGCAATTTAGACATGTTATTTAATTTTATTTATGTGAATAATGACAAAATATAAAATCAAAATGGGGAATTAGTTTTTGAACAACTCAGTCCATATACATTTGTCCACCACATAGCTACATGGATGCCAATCAAAGCAAAAAAAGACTTCCCTTCATTCCCTTCCTTCCAGGAGCAGCTCCACATTATGCCTCATTGAATTGATGTTGGAAAGATTTTCGCAGGAAAAGATGATCCAGGTATCTGAAACCTCTTTAGTCACTGCCTTTCTGCAAGATAGAGCCACAAACCCTCAGAGAAGATGAAATCATTCAGATATATATGTTGATATAACAAGCAAGGAAGAAAGCAAGCTCTTACAGCTCTGTATGGTACCCCCTTTCGTACCTGAACAACTTTTAATATTTAAGGTATTCTTCTTACATGTGCCAATACAAGACTGGGAAAAGCTATTGAGCTCATTCTGAAGCCTTAACTATCATACAGACTTCAGCTAGTGTACTGATGGAAGAGCCAAAGGAAATGGTCAGTGTCAGCTGTAGTTCAACTGCCTTAAATTGCTTGGAAAAGTGTACTGAGGAGTTTATAAGACCAGGAAATTTTGCTGAGCTTTCCCTAATTCTCATCTTGCATATCAATGCATGTTTTGTTTTTTCCTTTCCAGGACTATATATCCCCTAAATATGTACCTTAAAATCCACATCAGAATTTTCAGTCTTCAAATACACAGAAATGAGCAGAGAGTCTTTGCCATCTATCAGAAGAAAGACCCAATTCATCTATTTAGAGTAGATCTTCCTTGACAGGACAGACATAAAGCAAGCAGCAGAGCGCAAGGCAACACATGCACCCACTGGGACTGAAACATTCTGATGTATAAATTGTCTCATAACTCTTAGTCTGAGTGAGTGGATGGGGAGGTCTGTTTCTATAAGGTATTATAGCTTTCTTCAACTACAAATTCCTGCTTTTTTTTTTTTACATCTTTG